CATGTTTTGACTCCAAAACCGTGTCACTAGCATGTCTGCTTTCGGAGCCAGCGGCGGTTTTTCAGGAGCACTGCGCGGCTATCTATGGCCTGCGCGGGCGGCGGGCGGCGGGCGGCAAGCGACGATGCCATGGAACGCGCGTGGCGCACCGGCATTGCTGCAGAAACGGAGCCAATATCATGAAAGGCCAGAACACATAAAACTCCACAGCAGTGTACTTATAATCGACTAAAGAACATGTCTGTTTAGGCTTTGTATCGCTACAAGGCAAGGTCCCGTATGTACGACATTGCAAAGCTGAAAAATGCGATTTCTGGAAAATTTGACTTTTGATGTGGCATAACAGGGTAAATTTTGGACCTAGCAGCATTCAACGTATTGACAATCACAAGTCTCGTGCAGATCAGTCGACTGATGTTTCCTCTAATTTATATCTTTCTTAGTTTGTAAACGGCAGGTGGGGGTCGTATACCTCCCCCCCCCCCATCAGTCCGCATTATGAAAAACGGCGAATCAGGGAAAGGATTAAGACCGAAAGCAATTATAACGTTCACGAAGTGAAGGGTCTTTGGAAAGCATCGTTCTTCACACCGTACGAGATGTGTGAACATGAAATGTGTACACGTGCGGGCATGAGGCGGTGCCGCGCGCTGCGATGCCAACCGCGACTCCCTAAGGAGACATTGCTGGATTGAACTTGAAGCGTGGTGGTGATCACGTGGTGATGCAGCGTGAGATGTTAACCGCCTAGAGAGCATCTTTGGCGGCTCGATAGTTCATGTCAGCTGTAGCGTTTGTCAGTGGATCCAAGCAGACATTCGCCATCCAGCAGCTAATCCACCAGTCTCTGAACACTGGCGAAGTTTCCTGAAAAGCAAATCCGTCCCTGAAGTATGGCGGTGAAGCTTATGGGGCTTCCGCCCACGTACAGCCATTGTCGGAGCCACGGAAGTTATTCAGAGCGCCTCTGACGATTCCTTGTTGAACCTGGCTAGCTGTGCCGATTTGTATAACATTCTGGAGCTCTGAAATATTTGCTGTTGAATCATGATGTGTGGAGCCATGGATGCTTGCACCGCGACTGATTTAAGTCGTGGTTTTGATTTGATGGCAATAGTGATGACAATGTTTGCTCGTTAAAGCAGAGAGACAGGTGTTGGATGTCAGATCGGGAGATAAAGGTAAGGTAAACAAACTAGACAACTACGTTGGCCCGATCAGGTATTTGATGATGTATTTGCATGTGTGACATGACCTAGTGACAGAGCAGCCTGAGTAGAAATGAGGTAGAATAGTCTGCGTATACTGAGTTGAAATGTTTTAACCTTACGGTAAGGTAAATCGCGAGGGATGCTTACAATACTTCAAGGCAAATGGCTTAATACTTCATGGCAAAATGTCGTAAGTGCTTTGAATGTTTTAAGGTAAATCGGGAGACAACACGATAGGATGAACTTAGCATGCCGAGAGCAGTCTTATTGCTGGCTTTTGACAGCAACTGCTAGAAACGAAAAACCAAACTCAAGCAAAAATTAGGCCACCTTCCGTGACGTTCCATTCCCTGTATTCCCCCCCCCCCCCCCCCCCACTGCGCACGATGTCGGACTTTACTCAATCACGTCCAAACCCGAACCAGCCCCTGGGTCGGCTGCCGTTGCACAGGGCACCAATGGGAGTCTGTCTCCTCTTCGGGTATCGCCAGATCACAGAAACTGGGACGTTTTAGGCCCTTATAAGGATATCAGGGTGCAGTTGTGAATAGCTCATGCCTTCTAGAGCCTTCTGGATATAGCAGGTCAGGACCCCATACGAAGGTAAATCATTCCCGTTAGAAGAAGAAAAAAAACCATCGCTCCGCTTTTCCATCCTGCTGCTCCCCGTCTACCGTTGTGACGCCACCATTTTCTATTGGTTGCTAGGCGCCCGAGGCCCGACTTGGCCTACCTGACCGCTCTGTCCCCGGCGCCAGTGTCGCCATCGCCGTTAGGCGCGGGGTGAGCAAAAACGACAGGGCACTGGCCGGCTTTTTGTTCATTTATCTTTGTTTAATTTATTGTTTGTTTAGATACGCCGCCGCTATCTGACTTACACCTGCTGTGTATCTGCGATGCTCATGACAACACTTAACTGATACTTGATGGTGTGCCCAGCGATGGAGACACGATGCTGTTGTAAACGTTTGAAGCATGCCGAGGTGAATGCTCAGTTGATCGATGATCCCACTGGACCACACCATCAAATCAAGCTTTGAAATTGGCCGCGATCGCTTGCAGTGCGCTTACATAAAGTTGATAGCCACAGTCGCACTCTCCCTTCCTGCGCTCCGAACGACTGGAAATGGAATGACTGGAGGTGAAAAATGATGTCTGGGTGGAAGCCATTTTACATTATCGTATCTCTGTTGATGCTTCAGTTTTTCACCAACAAATGACGTGGAACGTGACGAACCAAGATGCATGTTGTACTACATGTTAGTTCTGCATAGCTGGGCCAAATGCTATTTTGGAAAAGGTCAAAGATGCCTTCGCTATGTTTCTTTCTGGATCGTGGCTTCATTTTGACGGCTCTTTTCGGTCCCACTTTGCTTTCGCGGAACAAACTGACCTTGGCACAAATCTAGAAAACATTATTTAACTGGTTTTCATTTTTACGCCGATATAAAGCATGACGATGAGAAAAAACCTAGATCTCCATCTACTCCCTCGCACCTCCCCCCCCCCCTCTCTCTCTCTCTCCCTCTCTTTCCCCTCCCTCTCTCTCGCTCCCTTTCGCTTTCACCTGCTCTCTCGTATTCTTTCTTTCTTTCACGTTCTTCCTTTCTATCTTTCTCTATCGGGCGTTTTATGACAAGTGCAGCCGGTGCGGTCTGAAATCCAAGCCACAATCACCACCTCTTTCCCCATCTCTTTACCCCACCCTTTCCTCCACTGTCTTCACCTTTCCACGCACTCCCTCTCATTTCTTCCCAGGAAGACACGAATAACTTCTTCAGAGCACCCCCACTGCCTTCACCTCCCCACACCTCCCTTCCCATCCGCTCCGAGGAGCCAAGGAACCCTTCTCTCAGGAGCGTCGCGCCGGTCGATATCACCGCGTCAGCCCGCTGGTGTCACCCAATCAGCTGGCCTAGCCGGCGCCCGGCGCGTCTGCTGTCGGCCGGCACGGGCCGTCACGTGACCAGTCTGACCCGGCCCTGTCTGGTTCGCCGCCGCTGACAGCCGGCGCAATGCGCTCTGGTGGAGGCCTTTCATCGCAGCTGAGGTCTGAGATGCAGATGTCTTGCGTCGCCCAGCGTTTCAAAACCGATTTGCTGTGGTAGGGTGTTCACAAATATGTAGGTAGATGATATTTGGATGTTCTTATAACGAACTTATGACAGATAATTGTTTTAGCTGTGTGACGCCCAGGCAAGCTTTATGTATTGCTGGAGCATTACGCATCGCAATGGACTCTGCGCTCGAATACACAAGAATTCTGGCATAGTTTGCATGGATTCTGCCTGTTCAAAGGAGATGGGCGCTGCGACCCTGTCCACGCAACCTTGCCCTCCGTGTTTACATAGGCGTGATCACCATGCCTTGACTCATGAGTTGCCCTCGGAGACTCGCCGATGTTTACACATTCATGCATGGTGGCCGGCCTCCCGTCCCCCACCCCCTCAGTATGGGCAAGCGGCGTACACGGTCTCCAGGCCGCACCGCGGCATCCACGTGATCGACACCAGGCACCGTAGCACGTGCAAAACATTCCCGGTGATCTCGCATCCACTTTGTAGATGGAAGATTTGTCTCCAGGGATGACTTCCTGTCGAGTTATATACCGATTTGTTTGGGATCCAGCAAGGAGACCGGGCCCTTCGAACGAATATGCGTTTGGAACGCGCCGCAGACTCATAGCGCAGTTCGCTACCGGGCCATAATGGCGTTGAATACGGGTCTCCCCCACATATGCTTGCTGCAAGTGGTTCGGATATCTATAAACGTCTCCTGGAGCTCGCCTAATGACTCAATCGTCGTCGACACAGCTGGTCGTCTTGTGTCTAGCTCCCCTCCCCCTCCCCGCCACAGCTGACCTGACTCCGTTCACCTTCCCTTACCCGCACCCGGGAACAAACAACGCCACGGGGGAGGGGAACGAAGAGGTGAACTCAACAACAGGCTGACCCCGAATTCCGATCGGTTTTAAGGAGGCACCGGTGGCTCGAGGGTCCTCTGTTTTGCCGCCCAAACTGTGAGGAATTCCACCTTTTACCCGGTGTGATGCATTTGTATCTGATTTTAAAGCTGTGTGATGCGACTTGGCCCCGGTCCATAATGACCCAACGAGCATTGCACGAGACTGGGGCCACCAGATGGCGAGTTCACCTCCTCCAACGAATTTGTATCGGCGTTCGTTAAATGTTGTGCCGCCGCCAACGGCACCTGTACACGGCAGCCCGTTGATCGTGGCTTTCAGGGGCCTGTCGAATGACCATTGTTGGGTAAGTGTTCTTACCTGTCGATTGCTCGTAGGCTTTAACTGGCAGCTTGACATGCTATCTGATGCCATGTGACGGGTGGTTCGTTCGAGCGCCAAATTAACCCGGTTCGGCGCAAGGCCCTTTTGCGTCTAGCTTCATTGGTAACCCACCCTGCGTTCCCTTCTCACGTTTGGGGACATGTGAGCGCAGTGGCGACGCCAGGAACGATTACATAATCACACGCTGCGGTCAACGCTCAAAATTTTTACCGTTCCAGAAAAACGTTCCGAAGCATTCGCACGATTATCCAACACAGGTATTGGGTGCAGTGGCGATGTAAGTGTACCATGTGCCGTCGGCCGGGACCCGAGATCACCGTCTTGCCGGCCTGGCGGCGCCCGTGCGTGAGCCGGTCTGGCCGGCGCGTGGCCCCACCGACTGCGCGCGCCGAGGAAGCCGCCGATTGGTCGAGCCGGCGTGTTCACGTGATCGTCGGCACGGAGAGGGTCGCCTGACGACGGGCCCGGCGTCGGCTGGGGGCAGCGCCCGCGTGTCGTGTGGGGTGGCCGCTCGTGGTAGACGGGGACGCGAGAGCGACAAAGCTGAACAAGTGACCCAGGACGCCCGTCCACGGACTGGCCAGCTGACTGCTGCATGATTTCGGTAGGCTTGCTGGCGTCTGCCGGCTTGTGGTCATGGATGGATTTCGCCATTTTCGTGTGGTCCTCCTTGAGAAATCCTGTGGACTGACTCCCGGGTTTGCGTGGATGGTCTTGGTGAAGTTAATATGTGAAACGTAGAACCCATGTGCTTAACGCATGTGATCAGAAATGTGCGTCTGAGTTATGTTAGGGAATTTGTGTTGATTAATACACTATTAGGCCTTTCATGCGTCAGGTATAATAATAATTCAATAGACTGAAATCGTTCACCCACGACACTGCCGTTAAGCACAGAAAGTGATCAGTGCGAATGGGATTTAAACGGGTTGACCAGCTATTTGAAGAGGAACTCACTAGCGGTTTACCTGGCTTGTGTCACGACTCTCACTTCACTTGCAAGACCTTAAAACTGGCAACAGTAAGACCACCAAAGTTAAGCTTTTGATTAAAACAGGGTCGTTTCGCGCATGTCAAATATCGATCGGTTTGACTTTGGGATGAATTTGGTGGTGGAATCCTACCCATGACTGGTGTGCCGCCAGAATGCGACCCATTTATGGTCTGCTTCGTGGTCGGCTCTTCACCGGATCTTCATCATGCGTTAACTGAAGCGGGCGCCGTGTGGTCGTGCTGTAGCTGCTGTCGGCACTAGTGCTTCTTCCGTCGTCGTCGCCTGTCACCGGGCTTGAGCTATTTCCGTGCGGCACTCATGCTTACGCCGCTCACGGCTGGGTCTGGCGAGGTGGCGCGGATGCCTTCATTCAGTCGCACCGGAGGCGTGATCTCGTGTTCCAACATTCAGTCGCCCCGGAGGCGTGATCTCGTGTTCCAGCCATGAGTGACGGTGGGAACGGTGGGATTCTGAAAGCTACGTGCGCCAATGTTTTACGGCGCGGTGGGTCGTCGCTGCATGGATGTGGTAGTGCGCTAACAAATTGTGTCCGTCCCATTCGACTCGGTTTAGTTGGGCGTAGAACTTAAGCTCTCCTTCAAACGTAATAGCTATGGGCGCTGCATGACCTTCAGCAGTCGATGCGCCCTATAACCCCAAATCATCATCATCATCATCCTTCAAACGTTCATGTTTAAATGCGTTTTTAGGCATTATTATGGTAAGGGGGCAGTTGACCACGTGCGACATCTAGCAAGTTTTGACTACGCCAGATTTAGAGATGGTCCACAGAAAAGGGCTGACGGAGAGGTGGATGCAGTGTGTCGACAATCAATATTTGGGATGAGAAGTGGCGTTTATTAAGGACATTAAAGATATTTCCGTTTTTCTTTTGTTCTGAAACAGCTCTTCGTAATTTCGGTTTCTTTCTTTAGGCAGACTGAATTGTCCGCTGATTTCGGTCGCCTTCGCGTCTTTGTCTAAGACAAGTCGGCCTCCATTTCACATTTTGGTGAGGCAATTTTGGCAACCAGGGTGGATGACGGATGTGATGCTGTGAAGCACGTGAGAACTCTTATCGACGCAGAGGATGTCGAGGGCCTACCGTTATTGCAACATGAATGATAATATCGTTGTATGCTCTTATGAATCTCTGGTATCATACCAGCTCCAAGCACATCCTGGTGCAGGTGCGCCAGTCCTTCGCCCTCACCTCCGAACCGAGGTAAACGGGGCAAAGAGATTGTTCCACTTTTTGTATGGGGGTTTGAACTGAAATGGCCAGTTTAAAGATCATTCGATGGAGGTCACAGCCCTACCCTTTGTTGGACTGTAAACGCTCTAGTCTCTGAACTACACATCGGCGAAGATCTGCAGACTAATTCGTGCAGACTATTTCAAGGCTATTCAAGCATGCATGACGCAATTGCAACGTGATTGAAATGTGGCCACCCCATAGGCCATGGAGTTCAAGACCAAGAAGAACAGTATTGTCGGGCCGTTCAGAGTTGGCGTCCGTGAGCACGATTTCCATATAAAGTGAACGCCAATTGGCTCTCATTAAATGTTAAGATAGCTCTGCAAGTTTTAACCCCAAATCATGTTTTGTGCTACATGAGATAAGAAGTTGGACATAGTTGCTAGTCATTGCGGAAACATGATTTGTAATCAAATAGAGTAAGATTAACACCATGAGCAAGCATGTGAATACAAGTAAACATCTTAAACTCACAGATAATTAAGCAAGAACGCTATGAGAAATGATCAAAACACGAGCACAAAACTATGTTTGACTCAATGAACACTTCAACCACCGCCATCTCTCGGCGAGGTAAATACTTCCAGTTAGCGCTGGGGTGGCAATTTAGTGCGGCTTATGTACCAGCAGGCCAGCGTCATACGCACGTTCCATAACGTAACCAAACAATGGCGTATTGAGGAGCGTATTAAAATGTAGAGCAAATAGAGATATGGCGCTCTCTGGAGCAGTCTTTTCCACTTTTAAGTATGCCGACAACTAGTCAGCTTATTTCATAACATCTGACGCTTGTTTCAATATCTTCCAATGAAGGACATTGCCTTTGGTGACATGCTCAATATGATTAAGAAGGCCGCAAGCCCCTAGTTCTGAAACGGTGGATGTGGAGCTTTCCAGGTACGTGCCCGTAATCTTATATGGGCGGCGCCGCGGTGCCATTGCAGTTATCCCGTCTGATTTCATTGACCAGGGACGGGGGTGGGGGTCATATTACGCTAGGTCACAAACGTTTTTTCGTAAAAATCGGGTGTTATGTGCCGCATTGTGCGCTGGCTTAAGTCCTTTCTTGGCGCCGATCTCGCGGAGGGATAAAGCTTACTTTGACAGTGGAAGGCTGATCAGTGTACAGTTGAACGTCAGCTAACTGTTTAAAAACGCGATTTTGCAACCCATTTTCACCACGTGCCTGAAAACGCATACACACGAAACGCTGCACCCAAAGTATTTTGGTAGTTCTTGGGCGTTATTCAGAGCAGCGGTCGCGGGCACACGGACAGTACTGCCGCGTTCTGTCACCCCAAGATGCCACACAACTGTGCGAGGCTGCGGTGCACACATAACTGAAATCCAAAAGCCAACCGGTCGTTCTTCGAACCCGTTAGCACCTGGCAACAGCAGCAAAGCTTATTCTCCAAAACGTGATGAGAACGCACGCCAGACGAGACTGGTATCCCGGAGACCTATTCAATCTTAAAATTAGCAATTCGTTTCTGATCCCATTAAGTTTTGGTGGACACGCAAATGGCTGCCGTTTCGCAAGACGACGTTGCTCAGTAGATTTGGCTTGGGCTTTGGACCGGGTAGATTTTATTTCGTCGGATCGACTTTGACTTTGCGGTTGGGAAGTTCGGACCAATGACTTATCTACGGCTGCACACACACTGTGAATCGAATATCTTAGGATTTGGGCTCCGCGTCCCAAAATTACGAAGCGCTTTGCTCTGGGGTTTCGGTTTCATTTCAATGTCTTTGTGTCGGATATTTTCAATGCGCGAAGACAGCTGTGGTGCTGTTAGGTATTTGCATGGCCCAGCATCAGGGCCAGAATACCCAGAATGACGCAGCTGAAGCAGGAGTGTTGATATGCGTATTTTTTGGGGAGGGCCATAGCGCACATAGTGTATATATTGACCTCTTATAGGTGACTTTACCCCTCCCACAAGCCCCGATACTTTCTGACCGTTTAAACAAAGGAAACGACGCGACATTTGCGGACACAATGACTGCAAGATATGACAGACACGGATCCTTCCGCCCCGCCCCGCTGGAGAGCCTCATATGGCCATGCGCGCCTGTGAGACTGTATCGCACACTCCTGTATTCAGCGCACGCTTGATCTGCGCCGCTCAAGGAGCGCTCCGGCCGGTTCGTGGCGCGTGCAGAGCAGAGGGCCCTGCAGAGCTGCCGCCGGCCCCCGGCCAGCTCCCGCCCGAGATCGAGGGGGCACGCAGGTCTGTCTCTGCGGCCGGGGCAGAGGGCCATGCGGAGGTCCCTGCCGGTCAGCTCCCACCCGAGATCGCGGAGGTACGCAGGGCTGTCACTGCGGCCGGACGGAGCGCCCTGCGGAGGTCCCTCTGGCCTCGGGTGAACTCCTGGGTCAGCTCCCGCCATAGGTCGTGCAGGAATGCAGCGCTCGCCCCCGCGAGCGAGGCTCGGCCGCGGGTCACGTCGATCAGATGACCCCCGCGAGCGGGTATGGCGGTCGTCTGGAGGATTTGGCTTAGGAAGATGATTTAAAGGTTGCTCGCGCGCGCGTCAGAATATCCGAGATTTCAGACGTCTTCTGGCATTTCAGGGATGCCACAGCTGATGTTAAGCGGCTTAACTCACCTGCCGACGTGCCGGTCGCTCCACGAAATCAGCTCCTCTTTTAGTGAGTGTTTGATCCTCCGAACAAAACCCGGGGCGAGTTAGTTGTGAAGAGAAAGTCTCCGTTGTCCACCACTCCTGATTCGTTCGCACGTTTGGCGGGTGACACTGTCGTCCGCTGCTGTCGCTATGTGACCCAGATGGCAGCGGAAGAGGTGTCACATGTGGAGGCGCACAGTCAGCTGACTCCTCGGCTGCTCGCCTGGCCGCGCCCGTCATCTCAGCGGCGCGCCCAGGCGACGGACACGTGGGGGAGGGGGAGGGAGAAGAGGGGGGGGGGGGGGCTGACCGTTGACCTGTTGGCTTTCGCCGCCCTATCACCGATCTTGTTTGCGTACTGGACGCATGGGACCGGCCCGGGGGAGCCAGACGCCCTCCCACCACGCTCCCCTGGCATGGAGGGTCCCGGTATGGGCGGCAAGATGGCCGCAACTTACCGACCCGCAGCTGCATAACTTCAAAATCTTCATCCAACTAAGTGGGAAAGAACCATTCAAAGACAGACAGCAATGACCAGTTTTCCAAGACAGGTTTTCTTGAGCGCCGCACGTTAAAGGCATGTGTCGATGATGAAAAACGGCGTGTTGGGTGGTCCACGTACGCCGTCTAGTCCACGTGTGTGTATACACTCGTGTTGTCAACCCACTCTAAGGGTCTAAGGCGAGAACTGCAAAGCAGCCGAGACCTGGCCTCCCCTCTGGAC